TATGTAGATAAACTATTATAATAAATTTGAATGTTGGTAAATTTACTATTTTCAGATAATCGTCGAAAGATACACAAAAGAGCAGAACCTGCCTTTGATCGATCGTAGTAAATTTCTGGTTCTACAGGACGTCACTGTTTCACAGCTGGCAACACTTTTGAGGGACCGTATGCGAGTTGGACCTAACCAGGCATTTTATTTACTCATCAACGAAAGGACAATGGTAAGAAAAAAAACTAAATTTTCTATCTTACACCGGGACTATCATTTATCCTTTCCCAGGCTGGTTTGTCGAAAAGTCTAGGAGAAATCTACAAGGAGCACAAGGACGAAGATGGATTCCTATATGTAACTTATGCCTCTCAAGAGGCATACGGTGGAGATATCAAAAAGTTTCAGGAAACCTCCTGTGGAGACACCAGGAACGTCCAGGAACCTCCAAATAATTTTTACAAACACTTGGTGTTCCGGGGGAGCGGGACTGGTGGAAAATTTGCCGAAACTAGATTTTGTAAGTAATAATAAATGATGTATTTGTAAGTGATCGCGTCTGCTTGTTTTTGTTATTGTAACTTAGTGGCGTTTATTATTTATATTTTTTCTTCGTTGAAAGATAATTATTGATTGATTAAGCAGAATGCAATAATACCCCACATCAGCCTTGTCACAATTATTATTAATAATAAATAGTAACAGAACAAACAAATATAAATCAACGGATTCTTAACAATAACAAATACAATTTACAAAGTTAAATAATCATGAAGCATTTTTTGGAAAATATTGTAAACATTCGTATTTTTTATTCGCAGTGGATACATTACGTCCTGTAGAGCTCATTAGATACACATGTTGTAAATTTATCTAAAAATTTTTGGTAACAAAACAAACTTAAAATTTTGTGTTTTTCATCTCTTAATTTTTTTTGGTCATCTTAGTTTTGAAAAAAATACTAAATAAACGCACTCTTTATGATTTATTTACATTCTATCAAATGCAATTCGTAGTTTTTGCTAGGGTTTTGAAGTATACTGAGATGCTATAGGGTCTTACTATGTTAGACAATATTATTTAGAATTTAATTTTATACAAATTTTTTTTAATACATCATTTATTTTTAACAAATATTTTAAAAGTTATTCAATATGTAATAAATAAATGCGCTTCGGATGGATAAAATTAGGCGAATTTAGACTATTCCGGATTCTTTTATCAGAAAAATTTGTAAAGTATCTAATTTGGTATAAATTCACTATTATATATTTGTATGTATTTATTTTATTATAACTAAAAATAAATGTAACCAATGAAATATTACAATGGCTAATAACTAGATACTGAAATTTTAACTTTAAACATTTTTCTTATTTAATTTTGTTCGCAAAGTTTTTAAATGTTATAAACATATGATATATAATAATATACATGTGTAATAAATTTTACTATTATTATTATAGCTATAAAAAAATGTAACCGATAAAATCTAACAATGGCTAATAATTAGATACTAAACTTTAAATTTCACTTTTTTTACATTGAGTTATAAAACGTTATATAATTTAAACGGAGTATCGGATTTGAATGATCTAAAAAACATTCAATTTGTAATGATTGGGAGAAAAGGTGATTAGTTTTTGGCACAGGCAGGTCCCGCCATTTCGAAGATACAGAGCTAATTGTGCAAAAAATGGCAATTTTTGAGTGAACTAAATGTCGGATTTGAATGATCTAAAAAAACTTTCTTCTTGTATTGGCAAAACAACTGCTTTTGAAGATAAAAAATTCTAACATCTTTTTTTATTTTCCATAAAATATTTTTGTAAATTTTGATTAAAAATTCAAAAAATTGCCCATGCTAGACACAGTCTAGTATTCTGGTACAAATGTTTACCCAAGTGCGTTTAGACTGTTTATGTACTGGTGCACTTTTCCAATTTTGTGAAAACTTTTGAAAAATGTGAAAATGCCGCCTAGCTAAGCACAGTATAAGTGAAAAAGTCGCACAGAATTATTTGCAAATGCGTTTAGACTGTGACTATACGGGAGCACTTTTCACTTTTGTGCAATTTTGGGAAACTATTTTTTTGAAATTGAATTCGAAATAAAATGACGATTGATAATGTTCTGGAGATGAATTGATTTATGATTTACATTTGATTTACTCAGATATAACAATAAGATAATGAAAGTTACAGTATTTGTAATAATATATTTGAAAACGTTTAAAATTTCTCGAATATTTCATTACGGTACGGGAAGTTCCAGCAATTCCTTAACGCACGATGCCATACACTACTAGTTTATTCTTAAAATCTTTTCCTTTATCTAAAATGATTGTTTACAATGAACTCTTGTATCAATTTGTCCGAATCGAAATTGTCACAACTCGCGATAAACAATATGTATTTATATTGTATATATAAATATAAATTTAGAAACAAACAAATACAATTGTCGTAGTGTGCGATAATTTATTATTGAGATGATATGCAATTTATGCTGCAAATTATGACATAGCAACTATTATCATAATAAATTTATATATACTATATGAAAAACATTTATCCATCCTTAATTCTTATCGGCGACGACGTCGAAACAGACATCATTGACCGATTATTATAATTATATACGTATATATATATATATATATATATATATATATATATATATACATATATATCTTCTTGTATATAAAAATGGAGTTCAATAAAATGATCCGCTAAAACTCGAAAACGACTAAACCGATTTGGCCAGTCTTAGTCTTGGAAAATTCGTGCTAATCAGTAGGTTGTCGGAAAGGTGAGATATTATTTCAAAATCGCGTAGAAACTTTACATTTTTATTTTGAAATTTTTTGTAGAAGCGTAATTGTATAAAACAATGGACGGTGGCTAATACGTCAAATGTCAAATCTTATTTTTCAAACTTTTTTTGAAATGTTAATATGAAAATGCACTTTTTGGCGTTGTAGCACTCTTTTTTGAAAATCATATTTTTCTCAAACACGGTGCTCTGCAAGATCTCATTTGTATAATTATATACTCATTTGTATTTATAAAACATTTTCTAGGTTATATTATTTTTTACTTATGTTATTTTAATTCAGAACCTAAATTTGGTATCGATCAAAGGGACATTTTGTCGAATAACATTTTCCCAGTTATAATTTCCCAGAATTTATCGAAAAATAGATAGTAATATATGATTGTCCGGGGTTGAAAGGGTCCAACAATATTTGAAAGTAGAGGGAAAAGCATGTATAACCGGCTATAACCTTGATTCTCATGACTTTGATATCGGGAGATAAACGGTAATCTTTGAAAATCCATAATAAAAGTATTTTTTGCGTTGGTAGTTTTTTAGCATAAGTTGAAAATGTAATTATTTTGTAAAATTTCTTAAAATTAAAATAAGACATTAACCTGTTTGCCACCTGGCCATTCCAAGTTATTATAGACTCCGTCTATATGGTAAAAAGGTCTAAATCATAATTCATATTTTAATGGTTTTACTAGATGAATGCTATAGCATCTACGTCAAATTATTGACTATAGAAAATAATGCGGTTTCAACTGAAAAATAATCTTGCACCTTAACACGTTCGCGCCCAATAAAAGTTTGAGTAATCGTATTATCGTATTTTGATCGTTATATACTAGATGAATGCTATAGCATCCACGTTAAGTTAGAGACTAAGAAAAAAGATTCGGTTTTAACTGAAGAGTAATCTTGCACGTTAACACGTTTGCTTCCAATAAAAGTTTTAGTAGTCAGAATATCATATTTCAATCGTCGTATACTAAATGAATGCTATAGCATCCACGACAAATATTGCGCTTTTATTTTATGCAACTATGGAAAAAGGAAAAAGTTGACGCCTTTTAAAAGTTTCCGTAGTCACATTATCATATTCAAATCGTGAATGCTATAGCATCCACGTCAAGTATTGCGCTTATGACAAATTTTTGAAAGACATTAAAAAAAAACACATTTCTACAATGATGAAGTAGCTTTGGAATTTAATAATAATAATAAAAAAAAATCTCACCCACGACCTCTGGCCAAATCCGTTTTAACGATTATTACCGTTTTAACTGAACGTAGTCAGATTTGTTCGTTTGAAATGTATTATTTGTTGTGATATTATTGGATTGATTTTTAGAACATAATGTTTGCTCAAAATCAAATTGGACCTTTGTGCCTCGCTCTGCTCTGCATATATATATATATAGGGTCCGCCAAATAACTTTTTTTTTGAAAATTGTATAAAAAAAAGTACTGATTTTTTTCAATTTGAAATAATAGTTTTGGTTTGTAAGAGAAATGCAAATGGCAGCCTAACTTTTAAATGGCTGCCAAAAAATCAAAATGGATGCCAAAAAATCAAAATGGATGCTAAAGATTCAAAATGGCTGCAAAAGTTAGATGGCGGACCCTTTAATTTTTATTAAATTTACTTTAATTCATCGAATGTTAGTTGAAACTTTTCAAAAAGCAGGTCAAAGAGGAAATACCTAATTTATTTTCTATCTCTCCTCGCAGAAATTTGAAAATTTTGTATAAGCTCAGTAGTATTATTTACAATTATACACAAAATCCAAAATCCAAAAAGAATCTGTAAGATTTGAAACGTAATCAATAAGTCGAAAAACCAAAAAAAAGGACTTGGATTGGATTATACCATATAGAAAGTGTATAAAACTTTCAGACAAATAATAGACAATCTAATGTGGTTTATTGTTTATATAATACCTCATTGTATATAACATTCAAACAACAAACCCATATGAACTTAAAGTATTAATATTTTTGAATACCTAGAAATTGTTTATTAGAATATACCTTACTTAGCAAAACAACGTCTGCCGGGTCAGCTAGTATATACACATATATAGACATATATGTTTTTATATATAAAAATAGAGCTTGTAATTAACAATCGGTAAAACGGATTTGGCCAGTTTTGGTCTTATACGTGTTAATCCAGAGGTTGTGCAAAAGGTGAGATTTTTTTTTATCATTATTAAATTCCAAAGCTCTAACCACTAGGCCACGGTGATGCCTGTCGAGAATTATTTACTAAATTCAATCAATTCCCCCTTCGAACAAAATGCGATAACAAAATCTGTCAAAACCGTAAACAAATCCATAAATCTAATAATAGTAACAACAAACTAAATAATAAACATTATCTTAATTGTTATTATTATTATTCATATTATGGCACAGCACACAATATATATAAATAATAAATTTATCTCGAGTAAGAAAATTCCACTACAGAATTCTTGTAAAGTTTTTTTTTTCTTGTGAAAGAAAAGAATGAAGTTTTTCTTGTCAATTAATTGACATGGTGAAGACGACGACAACGTCAACCTTAT